GGCTTTAGGGACATAGCAAAAATGTAATTGGGCATGTGCACCCCGGTCTCCTGCGTGCATTCAAAATCATAAAAAATATACTTTTCTGAAGATTCAGGCTTTCTAAGGCTGTCCATAAAACAGAGGTGGCCGTCTACATCGCCAGCGATCAACTCCTGACACTGCTTACAACGTCTCCCTTTACACCTGTGCCGCTTGTCCACGTAAGACTGACACTTATCACACAAAGTTTTAGACAGGCATTCGACTTGGTTTTTTGATGCACAGTCGATATGTCTGTCTAAACACTCTTTGGACCGGCAATACAGTCTACAGCTAGGACACCGCTGCTGCTCGCCCATGCTGTCTGAGCACGTTACGCTCAAACAGAGGTGGCAACGATACCTGCAAGAGTGGTCGTGGCTGTACACCATGTGGCAAAACTCACAATAATTTTTCGCTCCGAACAACTTTTTTACATCCAAAACCCCATAGTAATGCTCATCGTGCAACAGGATAAAATAAGTCTTGGGGCACACTGTGCCCCCCGTTTTAAAAAACCCCCAGCCGCCTTTCGCCGTATACAACACCACCTGTATGTTAACTCCTAAATGCTGTTCAAACTTTGCTACGTCACTGAGCATAACCTTTTTTTGATCTGACCACCCCAGTTTCTCATGTAACTTTCTCGCCCCCGCTAACAATTCCGCGTCCGTAGGTTTACGATCGGACATGACGGCCAAGAGCCCACCCGCAAAACACAAATTGGTACCGGTGTAAGTCAGGTCTACTAAACACTGTCTCTTTTTATGAATAATTTGACTATTAAGGATAGTATTTAAAACTCTACGAGCGCCCCCACCCCTGTTTTTTACAACTGTCACAACGAGACGCAACGTCCCATCGAGATGCATCTCTCTATTGCTCTGTAGCAGTTTTGAGGTCTGATTTAAAAAATCCTCAGCAGTCAGCTCATTTCTAGTTCTTTTGACCGAAAACAAAGAATTAGTTAAATTACGGCTCTCTAAACGTAACTGAACATAATCATCAGGGCCTACCCTACCGTTAATGTCATCGAGCACTAACTGTATTCCCCCGTGTATGGCTTCAACAACCTGCTGAGCTGAATTTATTCCCTCAGGATTGACAAAACGAAATTCCTCACAATACACCGACCCCCCAAATCTGGATACTTCACGTTGCCAACTTCTCACTCTCTCCATATACACCTCAGCATTTTCGGGGTTACTTGGGGGTTCCTCTACGGGATCATTAGCGGCATCTTCTACATCAGATGCTATTTGAGCGTCAAACTCTGAGGCGCCTCCATGAAAGTCATTGGGAGTAGAACGGGCCCCATCTAAAGAGCCCTCTGGGGAATTTGCTAAACCAGAGTCTAATTCCACCTCCCCATTTTCAGACAAGCCAGTTTGAGAGCCTCCAGTAGGGGGCATCTCTTTTTGTTCTTGTTTTTTTTTCCTCATTACCTCTTTAGCCCTTTTTAAAATTTTTACAACAACCCGGGCCTGGAACTTTTTGGCAGCCATCTGTTTATCCCCCAAACGCTGTCCCCCCTTTTGTTTACACATAAACTGATGTGTACCCTGGAAGGTGTCCCTTTTACCCAGGCCACTTTTTGCGACTAGTCCTGCCTGCTCAGAGCCACCCTTTCCATCCCTTATGTTTTTCAGCATGGCTCTGAACCAAGCATCATATTTTTTCCATTTCTTTCTAGAATCCCGTTCTTTTAGCCTACCCGAGGATATATCCTCCACCACTTTTTTGAGGAAAGCCTCAACCCCTTCCCAACTACTAAAATATGGGGGAGCTGGGACAAGCTTATGGTTTTGGGAGAATGGTTTGTCAGTTCTTGGTTTTTTATTCACAACCCCTAGAGCGCATGCTCCGGGTTTGTGAATGTGGGCATTTTTGCTCATAGTTTCCTCAGGGCTTGGTGTGGTGGTGACCGCTGAGGAACTGGAGTGCTGGTTGTGTGATTGCAATACCTCAGCATCGCAGAAGCTTTTAGTCCATGGTTTTTTAAACGCAGCCCCTAGAGCGCATGCTCCGGGTTTGCGCACGTTCAGAACCCCTAGAGTGCGTGCTCTGGGTTTGTGAATGTGTGTGTTTTCGCTCACAGTTTCCTCAGGGCTTGGTGTGGTGGTGGCCACTGAGGAACTGGAGTTGTGGTGGCGTGGTTGTTTTTTACCAGAGTCTTTTGTTTTGTCCTTGGGTTTGACGTATATGAGGTTTGGACTGCCCTGATGTTTCAGCTGCGCTCTTGCGCTGTTTTGCGTTGTTAAAGGTCTCAAAGCAGATTTCTGGTTTGTTGGCAGTTCTGGAGGAGATGTCCTTGTATCTCTGACTACAGCATTGTCAGAAAAGTTGCCCAGGCCTATAACAGGGGAAAAAACATTTTACAAAAACTGAACTTTAGCACCTCTCTCACCCACACCTATGTATTTTACTTAAAATAAAAAAAAACCCTCATAGAACAGCCAAACCAATAAGCAAAATATATTTACAGGGCTTCATCCATCCATCAGTCACTGATGCTGGTGAATTTTCCTTTTCAGCTGTCTCTTTCCTTTTTCTTTTCAGCTTGTTTTCCCTCTGGTCTAAGGATCTCTCATGTTTTGACTGTACTGTGGAGCAAACAACAACATTATTATAAAACACATGAAACCGTCTTGTAAACATACATTACACTTACTTCATTAAAGTGTTTTTCTATTTAAAAAGTCATAGCTTTACAACCAAATAATCCATTTCAGGCTGTACAACAAACAGGTTTTTTAAATACATCTCATTTTGCAAAATAAAAACCAAAACGGCTTTTAAAAATCCATTTTGCAGAAAAACTCTTGTTAGTTTAAAAGCCACATGGTTTGTTCTGACCCCAGCCATGTGCCTTTGGTTTAGTTAGTAGCATCCACCCCCCACAGGGCCTTAAACCCATCACATTATACACAGTAAAAAAAAGTTCCCTTTCACTATGGGATAAAGTGTTGCAGGCACATGGTTGTTCTGTTCCCCCTCATGTGTGCTTAAGCCTTCAGGTTCAAAAACAAGCAAAAATGTTAGTATTACCACCAAATCCCTATGCAGCCTGTGTAATACTTTTGTTAATTTAACAGTATTAAGCACAACTATAGTTAAAATGTTTTTTTTTTTTTTTACCTTGGCCTGGTGGTAAAATGCAGTTTAAAGTTACTGGTTCCATGCTAACAGATCACACTGCAATAAACATAGGCACCATTATTTACTAAAACAGCCTGGGCAAAAAGTGGCCTTCTATAATATATAGTTTCAGAGTTAAAGACAGCAAGTCTTA